TGCGTGCAACATTGAGATCCTTCTTGGTCTCTTCATTCACAATACAGACGTTAGGTTAACTTTGATAACATGAAAAGCGCAACCAAAACGAGTCTTTGTATCAACGATACATTTTAATCCTTTTTCTTGTTTTCTTCTGCCGACAATATGAGTTTTCTTGGAGTTTGCAGGTAAATGAAAAGTCAGAAACACTGCAACTATACAATTTTTTTTAAATATTTTGTAGATTCTTCTTTTAATGGATATTTTCGACCAGGATCGGTGATGCGATATGTATTAGTAATAGGAATGCAATAGTTACAAAATGTATTATTATCTACATCGTCCTATAGATGTTAATTCATTAGATAATATATATTACATTATATATAATATATATGATATATTCAATATATTAAATAATTTACAATATATAATATATTAAATATATTAAATTTTTCATTAGTTAATAGTATCATCATACTTTCGTATGATAATAAAAATTTCCAAAATGGAAAAAACGGAAAAAAAGTTGGATATGTACACATGTGCATCATTTAATTAACATACTTTCACATTGTTACAACAACTATTTGTCATAGTTTTTTCCATCCACATTGTCTATCAGATTAGTATATTTATTTAGCATGTAATAACACCAAACGTTATTACAATCACTCTATTAACACCAAAAACGTAGCTCTGTAATCGATAACTGAAACGCGCCACAAATCAACGTCTGCACGCGTGTAGATACACGTGCCGTTGGCGCCATGTCGAGGCCATAACGCAATTTGTCTGCGCTTGGGGGCGGCCAGCTTGAAACGTTTTTTTCTAGAAAGTCACCAACGCTTGGAGAAAATGAGAGTCGGCTTTATTAAGTGGAGAGTAGGAGAAAAAGGGCGAAGGACAGGCTGGTTGTTCGCGTTGCCGAAATTTTCAGCAATTTTTCATCCCCTTTCGCGGCAGTCCTCGCGAAGGGTGGACACCGAATCCTCTAGGCCGTTCTCTTCTTTACGGCTTGCTCCCTACAGCGGTGCCAGTTTAGCCGCGTAATAAATGACACACAGACGCACCTACTTTTCAATCGAGCCTTGTAAGAGTCAATAAGTGTCGATGGATGATATACAGATGCGTGCGTGGCGTAATAAGAACGCAGGACGTTCGAGTTCGTTTCGACTCGGGAAGGAAATTGTACAAATGACCAAAGAAATTTCTTCGTTGCTTGATGTAATAGCGTGAAGATGTGATAGTATGTTTAAAATTAGCTTAGTAAAGAGAAGAATAAAAAAATGTGAAATAAAATTTTTTCAAATTATTGCAAATTTCGACGAAAAATATACAATACGAAATGAAACGCACGTAATGTTCAAAAGCGTGAAATTCGTTCATCGCCGAATCCAAGCGGCGGTTGAATCGTAAATAATCCTTTCGCGGTGATTTCGCGACTAGCGCGGATGCTCTGATGCATACACACTACCCGACTCGTAACAATACTGCATAATAAGCAACATTGAAATTAGCCGGGCCACCAGAGTTTTAATATAAATTCATACGAGCGGACCGCATGAATTATTCACGGGCGTAATTTGGAAAAACAAATGCCGAATAAGCAACAACCCGTACGTACCATCTACATACATCACAAAGGAGATTTTAAACGCTCGTAAAAAAAAGCCATAAAGTTTGACATTTCAAAACGACTTAAGTTGCTCGTCCATTTTTCTTTCGCTGTGTTTTCGTCAAATATTGAAACAAGAAAATCTCAAGCTATTTTATGTATTAAACAATTGGAGATACCGGTGTTAATGGCCAATATATTTCATCTGATGACAATTCGACTTGCATTACGATTCATCGGTTGCATAGCTCCGAAGGGAAAAAAACGTGACACGTCTATCTGAGACGGGGTAAATTGCATCCGTATATACACGGCTGGTCTTTTCGTTGGTAAACACGAAAGTGCACTCTCGTGAGTTGGCAACTCGCGAAATACCATTAGGAGCGCCGCTTGCTTCGTTTATTAAGAGTTATGATCGTACGAGACACTTATTAGCTCGGCTGCACCGCGACACAAAAAGATCACATCGGCGTCTACTGCCGTTTATAACAGATCTAGATATCAGACTTGATTAGCTATCGCGACCGCATTAAAGGCCAATCTGAAACCGAAATTCGAATCGCTGCGCGCTTATACTCACACAGAAATCCCAAATTATCTCTAAATTTGGTTCGACCGAGAGGATATCAAGGAGAATACAGCGTGAAATACATTCGTTTTTAAACTCCTTTGTTCCCACTTCGTTTCGCGAACGCATTTACCGTTTGCTTCTTTCCAAATAGTTTTGTGCAGGGGAAGATCGAACACGCACCCTCGATAGACCGAGTTGTCGATGGCCCGGTAATACCGACATCCGGACCACTTTTAGCAGTTTAACGAGGGGACCTGGCTCAAACTTGATCTACGTTTAGATATTTTTCTCATCAACTTTCGGCCCGGTGAACGGCTGGTAGAGCTACCAGGAGGATAGGAGTGGCTGCGAGACGTCGAGGGGTGGTACGATGACTGTATGGGGTGGACTTGACGGAGTTGGAATGGGACGGGGTCGCGCGGGGAGGACATATTTTTCTTGAAATTTGTCGCAGCTATCTGCTTAAAGGGATCTACCCTCGCGTATAATTCCCAGCCGGAGAAGCTGCAAATCTCCAGTTCTCTATCTGCTCTCTGCTCCCGTCACGTCCAACCCCGGGGTTGATATAAATGTTTAAGATTTCTGTGCGTATGCGTTCTCTTTCTCATTTATGTCATGGACCTGACCCGACAATAAACGCCAACTAAACACGCCGTGTTTTCGTTGACGATTCTTGTGATCCAGTGTTTTCTCCCATTAGGTTAACGAATTCAGGATTCAATCGTTCTCGCATTTTACACGAGGTTAATTTGCTTGTAGTTGAACGTTCGAAGTTTCCTAGTTTCCCTGAAGGAAGCATTATGGAAACTTGCTCGCACTGGAGATTTAATAGAAATTTATGCGTCATGTTACTCGTACATTTGTGGTTTGTGTAAGACATACATATGCATATGCGTGCGAAGAAGTGTTGAATCTTAAGGGCGTAAGAACTTTTCTTATAAACGTTAAATTGAATCAGTGTAAATTCTATCCGTTTCTTCGATTTACAACGTAAATTCTTCCCTTTTTCGACGAATCTTTGAGACAAAACTTGCTAATGTATTGCGGAGATGAAGCAATTCCACCGTAGATAAAGTAAATTTGTTCGTGGAGTGATGATATTCGTTATCGTTAATTCGACGTGGTAGTATCTCTTGGCCAGGACTACTGGAGTTAGTTATGCAACGGAAGAAGGGCATATTTCACGTGATTCTCATCGCGTTTAAAGGATCCCGTTAAGGTACACTCGTCACTCGGCATTCGTCACAACCATTCTCATTACGCACGTTTTCGTCATAGACATTTCTCTGACGATGAAATATACACATAGAAATACGCGGCAAGATTTGTGAAAAACGGATGGAAAGTTGATGGCATATTCTTTGCTATTTGAATAGACGAATAGATCTAGTAGGAGGAAACGGTATATTCATGCCGGATACAATGTGCGTGATTTAGGAAAGCATTTAGACAATCATCTGTAAATTTCAAATCACGTTAAATTTCATTCATAGCCGTTGTCTCATGTTCTTAAATTGGAATAATTTATTGGAATAATTGCATAAACTACCAATGCATATAAATTAGAGTTGGATGCTTGGTATGAGATAGTTTGAGTATTATCTCGAGGATTGAGAAATATTAGTATTAAGTAATCCAATGAATTCTTTTACTTTTGATGACGCTTTTATTTTTTTCAAATGAATATATAATTTTTATTTATTTATTTTACAGAATGATTCTCTTTTCAGCTACTTTGTAGGTTGCTATATGTATATGAGATGTTTATCTTAACGAAATGGCAAAAGAGGTCTACATGTTTGATTTAAGTAATAAAATTGAGGGATTCAATGCAAGAGAAAATTGAGCCACAAAATATTGAAAAATGAGATTATTAATTCTATGATCTTTTGTTGTCTAGTTATTATTCCTTAATTTATTGCATATGTGTGTGTGTGTGTGTGTGTGTGTGTGTGTGTGTGTCTTCTTTATACCTATATATGTTATAATTTCTATACAAGAGAGAGTTATGTCATATATTTTTGCTTAATGTTCGTAACTGTTACATAGACATGCAGCCTTATAAAAAATATCACTAAAAACAAAAAACAAGATTTTAACAATTTTCATTTCTTAAGCAATATATTATTAAGGACAAGTTTTCTGAAAATTCAACAAAACTTGAAATTTGAGTACTTTAGTGCAAGTAAAATGTACAGGAAAGTATGTGAGATTTGTCAAATAAGATACTTCTAAATAAAATATTTTGTAATGCTTCTTTTATAATCCAATTTTCAGATTTAAACACAGAGAAAATAAATTAAAAAATAAGACATTTATATTAATAGGTTTAAGTTAAAAAATAACAATTTTAATTATGCAATTTCTATTGAACCATAACTTTTTGTAAAAACTTTAATATCTCAAAACGTACTATTGTCTCTCTTGCCTTCAATTGTTAAAGAAGTTTACATTGCTTGTACCCATTTATTAATTTAAATAATCTTAGCAATCACATCTGTACAATTTAAACAAAGATATATAGATATATAGTGACTGACACCCATTAATATTCAGACGCTAAATATTGAAACTGTTACAATTTTGTACAAAACGTTCGTACAATAATAAACCTAGTCTCATTTTAAAGCTTGAAGTCTATATTTTCGTAATATGTAATATATTAAAATGTTTTTACATCACATAGCAACTGGGTATGTCTTTTTTTTTCATGACTGAATTTGTAATGGATTTGAACATCACCTCTTTATGATGACCTCGGAAAATTTCATGTATAATTTTTTTTCGTCATTTTATAGAACATTGAATATTGGTTTACATGACGAAAGTTCAAGAAATCATAACATTTTCGTTGTTATTTCGTTTTATATAATCTAGGACAAAATGAACAATTAAGGCTTCAGTAGGTAAAAGTTCAGAGACTTCAAACTTTAAAATGACTCCAAATTTATTATTGTATGACTTCTTTTACAAAATTATAACCATATTAATATTTAATGTCTGAGTATTAATAGAAATCAGTGTAGTTTTTATTTAAATACAGCAGAAACTTCTTTATCTTCGATATATTAAAAATAATTTCTGCAAGTATCCAAGGCCAGTAAATATGACTGTGTAATATTTTATAAAAGTAAGTTAAATCGAAAATTGACCTCTCCAACAAAACATTCTAAGACAGTATAAAATCGTACAAATCTGTATTGTAAAAAAGAATTTTTCTTATCTGCATGCATAAGGTTATTGTTTATTTCAGAATTCGTTCTCTCATAAAGAGAGAATTTTTATCGTTAAAAATTTTAACATTTATAAAATAATTATATATAAAAAAGTATCACCTATTAACTGCGACAGAACTTCGTATGTTTTATAAGGAATTGATACATGAACTTTATTTTTACTCGATTCCCTTCACCGTTATTTTGATCCAACTATTGCTGTGATCGCTTCACATACATATCCTTATATGTTGATACAAACAATACAATATAACATATTTGATATAGCATTTAAGAAAACAACAAATTTTGTGGAATTAAAAGTTTCAAAATTTATGTATATAAGAAATATTTGTGATGGATCAAAATTACTTGGCATCCATACATTGCACCGCTACACGAGCGTCTGATCTAACAATAAGGTCTAGCGCTATTTTTATTTTTTACAATATCTTCTTTCGAGATTTATATATTTTTTAATTTTTTTTAAATTTTTTGATTTAATTTTAATTTTTTCTCATTTTTTCCTAATCATTTAATGCTATTAAATCGTTCTTTTGAATATATTCCTTTAACTAATACCCCTCAACGATTTTTAATGAAAATATTAATTTTCTTACTGCCAAAATAATTTTTCACTAAAATATATGTACTTAACACGTTTACAGAGTCCGTTGTCTCATATGTATGGATCTCAATGATCTCAGTTCCTTGTGATGTAGTACTCTTCCGGAATAACACGTCCTCTGACTCACTAGAGATAGGAACGACTGATATTAAAAATTGCTTATTTAATTATTATATAAACAAATAAATTACTTACTTACATATATATATGTAAATTTGTTCATGTAAACTGTTTGTTATATATAATTGTTCATATGTAAACTGTTCATTATATATAAATTTATTTACATCTAATGAACAGTTTCTAAATCGATGGAAAGTTTACATTTCACACTATAGATGAGCATGTCCCAAATTCGATTACGAACATGTTAAGTCATGTATTACAAAAATATATTTTTAGAATTTCAAGAATAATTCTATTTATTCACGATGTTCACGTATATTTTAATATTCATTTTTGTTGAAATATTCTTTATATTTGTTTTTTCAAGGTATCTTCTTGTCAAGCAAATCATAATACTATCACTATTCACACAATTTTCTCTGCAATATGATTTCTTCTTTTCTTAAATTATGAAAATAATAATTTAAATACTATCTAAGTTAAAACGTATTTCATTAAAAAAAATAATTTTCTAATTGTTGCTAACAATTCCTGTTTAATTTTTATTTCCACTTTCCTTAATAAACTTACTTTCCTCTTCTGGCGATTGTGCAACACCATTGTAATTCACTATATAATAAAAAGTACCTTTCCACTTGAAACCAAGAAATCTGATCTTCAAATACTCTTAAAAACGTCTAACAAATAAGTAAGTCTAACAGTTGTTTTACAATTTCCTCTTCGAAATTGTGAAACTTTCGTATTAAATATTTGTTTTGAAAAAGCGTTATTTATTTCCGAGATATTTTGATTATTTTATAAATTTTCATATAAACACGTTGTATACGGAGATAAGAAAAATTCTTTCCTATAATACAAGTTTGTATGATTTTATATAGTATCTTCTAATTTTATAACGGAGTGTAAACTTGTAATATTCAAGAATAGTGGTGATTTAATAGAGCCATTTTGTAAATAGCGTATTTGAGGAACTTATGTTATACTGTTATTGTTTCAAGTTGTTTCTTATACATACATATATGTATATTATAATGAAAAAACCAGATGGTGAATACATATTCCAAGTGTAAAAAAACAAAGTTGAAGTATAAAATTCTGATAATGTTAACATGTCGAAATTCAGGAGAAAATCTGACTATGAAATCAAGAGATTTGTTGTCGTAGCAGTTACACGATGAATGTAACGGACGAAATTTAGTGCAAAAATTAATACATTCACCTGGAAGAAATGAAATTATCCAGATGGATCCCATGGATTCCATTTGCGAAAGAAAAAGGAAATAATAACAGATAATGGAATTTTAAACTAGCCAAGATTTTAGGCATGTTCTGAACCAATGAACTTATTCTTTCAGCGGATTATGAATTCTCTCTTTATATACTTGAAATGATGCCCGAAGTATGACGTTTAGGATCAAAATTTTTTTTTTCCGAATATAATTGAAAAATTACTTTGCACACTACTATACGATAACACATCTCTTATAATCAGCAAAATGTTATTTTTATTCTAATTTTATTCTAATTTTTTTATTATATCCATATAATGCGAGGTAAATGAATAAATATTACATTAACAATTTTGCAATTTGTAGGAATGAAAATAATTGCTATGTCTTCCCTAGATTTGCGTATCACTTTACACTCTTAAAATGCTTTATAAAAAGTAAAAGAAAATGGCGACACAAATTTATTCGATGATCTGATATAAATGCCGCGAAGTTACTTCGAAGTAACAAATTAATCTTCAGTGTATTTCTTTTCTTTTTCTTTCTTTTATAAAAACGAACTATCGTATCTATTGTATTATAGTGCTCAAAATACGTCGAAGAGACGATAAAAAAACATCGACATGACCGTCGTATGCATCCAACGGGAATCGGGGTCAGTGGAATCAAGGTCGTCTTCTTTAATTCGTCGAATTGCCATGCAAGTTACCCCTCGTTGGCATATTGGTGGTAGCAAGGGCTATGGAAAGACGCATAGTCGGAGAGACAGTCAACTGTGAAACTCGTCCCCTGGCAAAGAAGCCATTCCCGGACGAGCTCCGACTCCCATGGAAGCGTGCATATTTAACGTGACCCCGCGTGAATAATCGATGCGCCAAGGCGCTAGCCATTTGTACTCCTCCGGTTGCTAACTGCGCCCGTTTTAAAGATTCACGTGAAACGTCGAGGCGTCTCTTTTTCCGCCACCCTGCCACTACAACTGTCTTCCTTCTCCAGTAGAAAGTTGAAAACAAAGCATGTTTCGTGCAGTTTCTATTGCTTCAGCTTGCTATATGTTTTCCTATCTTCGTGGGTTTTTTCGTCGTTTTCGACAAGAAATCGCGTCGATTTGGGTATAAAAATTGAAACACGTGGTATAAAAATTTTCCGGAAACACGTATCAATGACTCGTATAATTTCTTGATCGTTTCTTTTTTTTTTTTTTTTTTTT